ATGGACAATTGTTGAACATAACTATATGTTATAAGATTTTTTAACATTTTAAAAATTGCACAAGTTTTTAATATTAAAATGTATTACAATTTTTAATTTTACGTCAGAAAACATTTACGACGCATCTTACATGACCTTAGCTTTGTGTATCCAATACAATTACTATAAGTTCATTTTACTGAAAACTTGCTCATTCAAATATATGGAATATGAGTTCCGAATCCAACATAAACGAAAAATGTGAAAGACAAGAGAAACTGATATATACGCTGACCTTTCAAACATGGTTTAAAATTAAGGGCGTATCTAAATGAAAACCATTATACCAATTTAAATCCAGCCTTCCCGTATCTAATGAACGATAGAAATAGATACTCCAAGACAGTAAGAGACTTGTCTGTCCTGATAATATTACGGAAGAACGTTTACATTACAGTGGTGGAAGACATTCTGTTTCTCTCACAAGAGAGACTTAATGATCCATTTTTCAAATCACTGATATGATGTCCAGATGTAATATCGCATTCGTTTGATTGATTTGTTTTGCAAGACATCTTGTTGTGTTATGTATATTTAATTTGTTTTGTTTGCTAGTTTGTTTTATTACATGATATTTTAATGTAACATTGAATGCTGGACTTGACCTTGTCCAAAACTGAATTCATTTCTAATTGACCATAATTGGTGTTTTTATTTTATTCATTTAAACAACTTATACATGGCTAAATTATTAACTATATGTATGGGTTTAAAATCAGTATTATTGTTAATACAAGAAGTAAATATGGGTCGAGGTTTTGGAATTTCCTAAGTGAATTATATATAATCCTGGTTATTGTTTTGTTTTGTTGACATCCGGATTATTCAAGAAGGTTATTTTCATTAAGTAATGTTTTGATTTATTTTAGAAAATGCTGATAGTGACATGAGGTCAAGTAGAGAACTGTATAATTTTGCAACTGTGAGGATATGGTCATTCGTGCATTAAGTTTTAATCAAGATGCATATTATGTCGAGTAATCTTATTTATTTTTTTATTTTATTTTATTTTAAACTTTTTCTGCAAAATTATTGAAGAGTAGTGATTATTTTCGTTTGAAATACAAGTGTTCTCATAAAAATTCTTTGATAACGACATTGGCTAGATTTTACACTGAATTCAAACCTGCAATTATATTACTGTGTACAACACTTTATAAGCTATCACAGACACAACATCGTCTTCAATATCTGGATTTATACTTGACTTATAATGTGTTGTATTCAAAACTATATAATATTAGGACAATTTGTTTGTAATTCTTGGATTATTTTGGGATTTAATTAGCAATGCTGTAAGTTCATATTTTTCATTTTTACTTTGTTTTCTAGGGAAATAAATTATTTGTTAAATTTTAGAAAGCTTGTTGTCTTTCGCTCTTTTATGTTACTTATTTTGAGTTTTGCGTGCGTAGACTCCTAACAGTTGCTTATCATGCCATTTATTTGAATGATTATATTGTTTTCAAAACAGGTTTCAATCAGCTATCTTTACAATCGATATATGTGCCCATTTATCTTACTCTGAATGGAATAGCACGACAAGGTTCGACCACAATACTGAGACAATATACTCAGTAGGATGTCACATGTCACCAAATGTGAGAGACGTATTAGTAAATCAGTGTAAAGAGCAGTCGAAAATTGTCGTTGGATTTAAAGAAGTTGAAAGTATGATGTATATATAATCCAAAGTACAGGTTTGGTAATGCATTTTAGCTCAATATGAATTTTATTTGACAATTTAACGCTTGAGTGGAAGTGAAACTCAGTTAACTATACTGGATAACTAAGACGTAGCTATTATTTGTTTTCCATTTTGCAATTTGTCACTGAAAAGACAAATGGATGATTGGAATGTTACTTATGAAGAACATGGAGACAACACTCATACAAACCTAAGATGATTTCATTATACGATAATGATGAATAACATTATTGCATAATTAAAAAATATGCAGTTAAACTGTTGTACTGACCTGTATTTTGATCGACTTACGTTGCACTGAAATTTTAAATTAAATGTATCCCAGTTTTGGTGTATATTAAACTCATGCAGTCTGCGTGTGATTTTGATGGTTGGGTGTGTTATTCCCAATATTTTATTTAGACTGTTGCAGAAGTTCTTGTATGGTAAAACAACGTCATGATACAGCAATAAATGAATACATCAATAAATGGCGTCACATCAATGCATATTCCTAATCCGGTTATCGCAATAAGATGCATTTCTTACTCTACACTCATAACTAATTCGGACCACAATCTAACAATCTACTTAATTGTCTACGTAGTACTCAAGCCCATTTCTCAAATGTGCATGTAAATGAAATACTACAAAGGTAATTCTGCATACTAAACGATGATAGTAATTAAGTATACATACTACAGATAAGTACAATTTTGATGCCGAAATATTCTTCAAAAAATCGAGCAAATAGCTTATTGACCTTTTCGATTCCTTTTCTTTCCTTAGAATCTACCTCTAAGTTTTTCCGCCAAATTGCGAGTGACTCCTGGAGTAACCCTAATGTTCAGCAGTCTTCCTAGGCGAATCTAAGTTTTTTTTCTTCCCAGTTATGAAAGTTATAATTCAACCTGCATTGTAATCACACCCCATATCTCAATTCCGATTGGCTATCGATGTGAACTGATCCAATGAAACTTAGCAAACGACATCCCTCTCGCTGTATGTTAACGTGTGGACGGATACGAACGCGCCCCGGTCACCCCACGGACATCCCTTTAATCTTAGAACTATACAGTAACAAATTGTGTGAAATGATGCGATCTATATATCTTGTGCCGATTCAAGATTTTGTGTCTATAACGGGTCTTGTAACCTTGCGTAAGAGATTAAAATTTGCCCACGAGAACCTTTAGACATCAGACACATGGCCGCGGTAATATTCTTAAGACATTAGGTGAGAGATTATACATGACTTTATATATGGGGATTAGCAAACGTGACACGATCTGAGCATGATACATGTTAGTCTTCTAACTTTAACTGATTCTTTTACAAAGACTACAAGTAACATAATGACGTATAACACGGTTAAATGTATACATCTGCAAAATGGAGTATGGCTAGTAGTGAACATACACATTTGAAACATCGTCATTTGGTTACACGGTTTCATCAATTGATCGTTATCTACACGCAAAGTCTAATAATGTTTGAATAATAACTAAGATTAATTTCACAGAACATAAAATCAACACTAATAAGTGCATGACATTAGGCTATTTTCACATTTATGGGCTTCCCGCTTAGTGTAGAAAGTAAGCCAGTTTGAAAAAGTCTACCTTTTTTAAGAAAAACATTAAGTTTCTCCTGTCACTCTGGTGTAACATAAATTGTCAGAACCCATTGACAGTGCTGTACATTAAACACTATGCTAGTCATTGAGTTTTTTGGTATCGTTCAAATCCAATAGAAAGTGCTTCCAAAATCCCCAAGAGTTTTGAAAGCACATCTTTTCCGTATTATAATCCTTATAAAAGCCGAACGAGTTGAAAACATTTGGACTTAAATAGAAAAAAGCGGAACCAACACGCGTAGTAAAACCAAATGAATTCCAATAATCTTGAATGTCCTGATGTACCAAAAGTCTTGATTGTCTTGATGCAAGACAATGATATAATCCAAAATGTCGTTGAATGAGTTATCGATAATCTCAATGTAGTTTTTAGTCCAAAAAGTCAATTATCACTTTGCAATTCAAATAAATAATATAAAAATAGATCATCTAGAATTAAATCAAAGTACAATTACAAACTCGGATCATAGATTTACAAAAACATAAACAGGAATGAACAATACGTTTGTTAAACCTCCATATGTACACACTTCATATGACCTGCGACGCAATAAATTGTCCGAAAAACTAACAGAAAACGATCAAGTTCGTTTCCAGGGCATTCTAAGCTTGTAAACAAAGTAGTCAGTGATCTCAATTTTTAGTAAATATATTTTTTTTTAAATATATGCCAATTGACAGGTAAGTAAAAACTCTACCCTCAATCACGGACAGAGGTGAAGTACACACACTATAAATTAAATACAAGTAACACCTTACCTCAATGTAAGATTAACTACAATTTTATATGGGATTTAGTAGTTACAGGCGTGGTAAATCAAGCCTGAAAAACTGACTAAAATCTTATTTGGGATTCAATCGTTAAAGACGTGGCAAAGCATGCTTGTAAGATTAAATTTGCATGCAATTCCACAAGATAACACTATTACTTTGAATTTGAATGACAGGTTGTGTGTGTGTCATACAATATGCTTGCTTGATTTTGTTGACCTGCTAACTCCCTTGGGCAAATTTAACGCCATTATATGAAAGCACATAATAACAATGACGACAACATTCTTGTTTGTTCACTAGAAAATAATTTGTTTTTTAAAAATTGATGCTATTGGGGATGAATAGGAAATCTTCAACTATGTATAGAAAAGATTCAAGGCTCGTTTTCATTATAATACATTTACCAAGAAGTTTCAATTGCTGGAGATTTGCACCAAAAGACGCCATAACATAAAGATATACCCGACATAAGTCTTTCATTTTTGACCTGGAGACAATGCTACCATGCATAGATGGTATGTAAATGTCTACACTGTTCACCATTACTACCATTCTTACATGCATTGGCTATCGTAGATAACGAAACATTATTTCTGTTTTGTATTAATTGTATGTGTGTTAGTGCGTGTGATTTAGACTTTTAACATAGCTTTAACAATTTTTCAGTCATATCGCTATGATGTCTGCAGTGTGGCAGTTTATAGTGATGTCTAACCCTGGGGCATCATGCCGCAGACATGTAGCATCATGTCCCACCTAGTTACATTATCCTGACACAATGGCTAACCAATCCTAAATTTAACATACTAAAGCTTAGTGCCTAGCGAGGCAGCTATTAGTACCATTATTTAAAAGTCTTTGGTATGACTCAGCCGGGGTTCGAACCCGCAACCTCCCGCATCCGAGGCGGTCTCTCTATCCATTAGGCCACCTGAGCGGTTATATGAATTGTCTTGTATGGCATGGTTATTAATATCGTCAAACTTGAATGGTAACGTGTCTTTGGCACCCCTTAGTATACCGACGGTAATATTTGCCTATTAGGCATAATTTAATGTTTCCTTAGTAAGATCGAACCCACGCAACTCTGAAAGACAATGCTTGCTAGTGGAAGAAAGCATTCCCAAACAACTATTGTGGAGAGCAAGCTTGCATGTACGACGCCTCAACAATCAGTGTGGTAAATTTGGTAAACAATGCTCTTCGATGCTCTAAACAATTTCAGTTGGTGATGAGCGATTAATCAATTAACGAATATATATTTTTCTTGAAAGGTGTTTTCTTCCATGTCCATGTGTCAAATACTAAAATGTTTTCTTTCACCTCCATGAACTAAACCAATGTTTTCATTCACGTTTGTGCCTTTTTTATACAGACATTTTTTGCATTATCCTCTAACACAAGATATATTTTCATTATTATTGAGTAAACGTAAATAATATTGCATAACAGTCTTTGATAATCTTTGATCAGTGTATTTTTAAAATCATATTTTAGAATTACTAAATGTTCATTGACTTCATTGAACACTACTGTGCGGTTATCGTGCATACATTCAATTACATTATGGTACATCAGAGCATTCAAATTTATTAGTATATCAAGACATTCAAGACTATTGGTACATTAGGATATTTAAGAATTCATTTCGAACTTTCTTTACTATTGGAACTGTAGTAGACCATTTATAGTTAATGGGATTTAATCCACAATACTGTTTGTATCTCAAATTTTCGATTTGTAACTTAGAGAAATAAATTATTTGGTGATTTTACTAATCTTATTCGTTTCGCTTCTGATTTATATAGCTTAGGACAGATTCATAACATTTAATTATGCATCTCATGCAATAAATAAATAATTAAACAGCGCGTAGTGCACATGTATGTATGTATGTATGTATGTATGTATGTATGTATGTATGTATGTATGTATGTATGTATGTATGTATGTATGTATGTATGTATGTATGTATGTATGCATGCATGTATGTATGTATGTATGTATGTATGTATGTATGTATGTATGTATGTATGTATGTATGTATGTATGTATGTATGTATGCATGTATGTATGTATGAGTGTATGCATGCATGCATGTATGTATGCATGCATGTATGTATGTATGTATGTATGTATGTATGTATGTATGTATGTATGTATGTATGTATGTATGTATGTATGTATGTATGTATGTATGTATGTATGTATGTATGTATGTATGTATGTATGTATGTATGTATGCATGCATGCATGCATGCATGTATGTATGTATGTATGTATGTATGTATGTATGTATGTATGTATGTATGTATGTACCTATGTATGTATGTATGTATGTATGTATGTATGTATGTATGTATGTATGTATGTATGTATGTATGTATGTATGTATGTATGTATGTATGTATGTATGTATGTATGTATGAGTGTATGCATGCATGTATGTATGCATGTATGTATGTATGTATGTATGTATGTATGTATGTATGTATGTATGTATGTATGTATGTATGTATGTATGTATGTATGTATGTATGTATGTATGTATGTATGTATGTATGTATGTATGTATGTATGTATGAGTGTATGCATGCATGTATGTATGCATGTATGTATGTATGTATGTATGTATGTATGTATGTATGTATGTATGTATGTATGTATGTATGTATGTATGTATGTATGTATGTATGTATGTATGTATGTATGTATGAGTGTATGCATGCATGCATGTATGTATGCATGCATGCATGCATGCATGTATGTATGTATGTATGTATGTATGTATGTATGTATGTATGTATGTATGTATGTATGTATGTATGTATGTATGTATGTATGTATGTATGTATGTATGTATGTATGTATGTACCCATGTATGTATGTATGTATGTATGTATGTATGTATGTATGTATGTATGTATGTATGTATGTATGTATGTATGTATGTATGTATGTATGAGTGTATGAGTGTTTGCAACCAAACATTCATCCTGTTTACCATATTCAGCAAAATAATAAGGACACTCATCAAAGGAATACCAAATTGTGCCAAGTTTATCTCGGCTTGATCGAAACATGTATTAGGCTGCTTGCCACTTTGTCTACGGGACCATCCAAAAATTGCTTTGGTTTGTTGGTATACAGCACACTAACCACCGTACTACAGCGGCTCCTGTCTCCATTAATCACATCTTACGACACGCATTCCCGAACCGCATTGAGGGATTCTTAACCAATATCTGATGCAATGTTCAGTACACGTTAGAAATGCAGCCATTACAATAAGACCCAGTATGTTACGAAGTATGTTTTATGGTATGCTCCTTGGGTCATTTTCATAAAATCGGCTGATGTAGGGGGTAGGTTTGAATTGGGCTGAAAAAAATAGGGAATTTAAAGTAACACTGTTACTAATTCGGCAACATAATCAACTTAACATGTATAACAGTAACATCAAAATTTCCTACTTAGTGGTGGTGATAGTAGTAGTTGTAGAGCTAATGAGGCTCATTTTCTATTTTATCTCACCAGGCCGTAAAAATCAAGTAAACGTATGGCATTACCCTGCGTCTGTCCTTTATTAATTGCTAATGTAAACGTCTTCTCAAAATTCTCCCTATAAATTTTGATCCAAGTCACCCATGTCACTGGATATCAACACTGAATACCCGGCGTACAAACTGTTCTTGAAAAATAATGATACCAATCTGCCATTACAAATAGCTGATGATACTTAGAGTAAATCAAATGATTGAAACAACTTCTTTTCAACACCCACTGAGCAGACTTTGATTCTGTCTGGAGGACTTTTCACGCTTTGTACAAATGAATTTCATCTGCCGTAAAAATCGCACATGTTGCTAAAATAAAACAATATTTTACGTGAATTGTTTTTCCAATGCCGCTGTGATCTGACAGAAAACATACTGTCACAAAGTCCTTAAAATGTTTCCTACAAATGATTCCAGTCTAAATGCTAAAGACTAAAAAAGCCTTAATGACTAGATTTTTAACTAATTTCACAGAAAACACCTTAACAAAGATGTTCCAAAAATGATGCAAATCCACCATAAAATATGGTCTACTTCTTCCTAAAAATAGGAGGGGGAATCATTAAGCGACTTTTCCAAACCGTTTTGAGTTGGTAATAGACAATCACAAATCCAGAAATATCGTTTGGATTGGCGTGGGAGTGAGAACTGTGGGATGGGGCCGCTATTAAAGGTTTCAGCACGTCTGGATACTCATCCATTTTATGAGTTTCCGTGGCATAATTTTAACCATATGAACATAAGGAAACTTATCATGGACACTCCCCCCCCTTTCCGATACCAAGTTGCTGAAAAAATATTGTATAAATCACTACCACTCGATGTGTAATATTTGCACTTCAGCGACAGCATAAACGTTTAAAGCGAGCAAAATACACAACACAAAGCCAATAAACTGAGACCAGGAAACTGTAGTATTCACACGACGTCATACAGTAGGGTAGATATTATTCTGAAAGAGTAATTATACCCAGCATTTCAGACATCAATTTTCTGGGTATGCTACTTGGTTATACTTATAAATTTAACGTGTCAAGTCTCTTAAATGTACTCTATTGTTCTATATACAGTGTAGCAAAGCCTCAATGAAAGAAACCTTGGCGAGCACTATGTACAATATTACCGTTGAATCACTGGTGAGTATTCATTGTAGATTAAACTAATACAAATTTATTTTAAAGTATGAATACGTTACTCATCCACTGAGAATAATTTCGCAACTATGCCAGTATGACGTCGTCTTTTAAAAAAGATCAAACCCCCTATATACCTATACCATTCCCGTAAGCGCAAGCGCAAATAATACTTCGACAGAACTTGAGATTCCTCGTTGTAGATTACGTAAGGTACTAATTGTAATGTATTTGTTCAAGTCTGATACATACCAATGACAAATCATTTTAAAATATTATTTATTACAGTTTTACAATTAAAATATCTTAGTCACAAAAGTATCAGGAAACGAAGTTATATCTATTGTATTGATTGCTTTGAATGTATTTATTCATATAAAATGCACGGGTACCTAGTGTCCGAGTGGTCTAAAGAGCTCACCGTTAGGAATCAATGCCATCTCACCTCTGTCCCGGGTTAATTCTGTACCATTTATATTGGCCGCCATGTATAGCCTATCTTGTAATGAACAATGGCGTTAAGCCCTAAAACAACAACAACATATGAAATGTGTTAACTTACCCGACTAATCGCCAAGTTTTGGATATTAATGAAAGTTTTTATTCGTAGCTTGATTTGCACCTGACAAATTATTAAAATGCAATTACTTTTTGATGTGAATGAAGTGAAAACTACCATAAAACGATTGTTTAAATTTGTACATATTTTAGGGAGTTTACATACGTCATTTTATTACATCTTAGAATCCTGAGTAAACTTCTTACATATGTGTACATTATCCATTCTCTATTGTTGGAATCCTATAGACCAATAATGAAAGACAACTGCAGGCAAACATCTGGAAACCAATAACAGTTCACACATAAAATTGAACTTTTATGTCTATCATCATCATCATCATCATCATCATCATCATCATCATCATCATCATCATCATCATCATCATCATCACAACCACCATCGTCATCGTCATCATCATCATCATCATCGTCGTCGTCGTCGTCATCGTCGTATTTAGTAGTTATCATCATCGTTGTCGTCGTCATCATCATCATCATCATCATCATCATCATCATCATCATCATCATCGTTCCCTTTCGTTTTCTCTGGTAGTTAAGGTTTTCACTGCAGCTCACCATCTGTCAAGGCCTTGAGCTATGCCTCCCTCCACGACATAAGTACGGTTCTTTGCCAAGTTATGGTTGGTCATCCTGTTCTGTATTTGCCACGAGAGTTCCAATCCAGGA